GTTCTCTCACCTCCCACGGGTCCTCTGGCCACGGGTCCTCTGGCTGGCGCACAAGAAGCCGTTCTCTCACCTCCCACGGGTCCTCTGGCTGGTAGACACCTGTTCCGAGTGACTTCCTCCGCCACAGCTTTCCACAATCTAATTCGAGACCAAAAATCGCCCGAAGGTGCGCTTCCCGGTACGCCCCCAGAATCTCTAACGTCGCTTTCGGACCCCGTAAAGCAAGTCTGTGAAGCAGCGTCGCGCACGCCCTGTCTTCCGCTGTCGGACCTTCAGCAACGCTTCAAGCTGTCAGACCTTCCGCAACGCTTCCAGCATGCCCTCGGTTGCCTCCTCTGGCGCGCGCCCCCTTCAACCGGCGGGGTCGGCGGATATATACAATGACAATTCTAGGGGTTGATGTGGGCCCTGTGCGAGGCTGGGCGTAACAGATCGACCTGCAGGGTCGGTGCTTGCTTGCTGCAGGATCCATTTGCCGCGCCCAGGAGCAGGTGCGAGTAGCAAGTGTTTGAGATCTGGGTGACGACTAGTTGTTCGAGTTGCTTCGTGGCTTTGTGTATTGTGTTTTGGAAGGTGAAGGAAAACCACAACCTGCCCCTTTGTGCTTAGACCTTCATGCTTTCGCAAGCAAGGCTCGTTTTGTCGAACGACAGCGTTGCAAACATGTTATAACATGTTGATTTGTTGGGTTTCAGCTTTCAATGGGCTTCAGCAACCTGAGCATCCCATTTTGTGTGTTCAGTTTTCAGTGTGTTCTCCACGTCTCTTTCTTTGCATCCTTGCTGCGAACAAGTGCTCAGCATAGTTTGCTTTTACCAAGTGGTCATGATCATGTATGGTCACAATCCTTGTGTCAATGATTAGGCCTTAGGTGTATTTGAAAGTACGTTTTCCTTCCAATGAGATCCCCGCATGCCACAAGGCAAAGACAACCATATAATACCATATCTTCAAGCGGCGCAGGTTATATTGTCCGGCCTCTCCATTGATGTTGGCGAAGCAGAATTGATGCGTTTTTTCTCCAAGCAAGGACCTCGGCTAGAATCACCAAAACAGATCAACGCCCAATGGCCTTGAATAATTGCAAAGGCAGGGAGCAACAAAGGCCGGGACTTTGCTGGAATTGCGGCGTTCTTTTTCGTGGTGTTTCCTCAAAATGTGACTACTCCCATGACGAACACTGGAGCCAGGGCATCGTTGCACATGCACGTGGCTGCAGCTTTGCGTCCGGGCCTACAGTTTAGAAAGTCTTTGCATCTATGAGAGGAACTGACTACGGTACCTTCTGCCAAGATCATTCAATTTGACTTGAATGAGGTCAATCACATTTCCTAGTGCTGCCGACGTCGCTACTTTCCTCGGCCGCGATGCGCATGCGTTTGCTGATGACAAGGACCGTCGGTGTCAACGCTGAGATTGATGATGTCACTTGATTCATGTGTTTACCTCGACCAGTCTTCAGGAAACACGCATAGCTTTGCTCCTCAACAGATCAGGTGGTGTGTCGCTTGACTTGACGAGCTTCAATCAACTGCTTTTCCGCCAGGCCACACCTGCTCAGATCAGGTGCGGACATGCCTCCTACAAAATCCACTACAGTAAATCAAAGCGCCAAGTATTTGCCTTACAAATAGAGCTATCGCAAGTCGTCTCTACGTTCAAACATGCTTTGTGTGGGCCTCCAACCAGGCTCGCTTGCCAGCACTTCCTGCTCCAGCCCTCCAACCCGGTGAGGAGCGAACAGCTTTGTGGGTTGAAGATGGAGATGTCCAAAAGTGCGGCAATTTCCCAGAGGGTATTCTTTTTTGTATTCTATCTACCTGAGGATGATTTGAATAT